AGTCTGCATTGGTTGCTCTTAAAGCGGCAAGATTAGCGGTGAAGAGTGCAGTGGAAAACCATAAAGTTCGACTACCGAGAATAATTCCGATCGAAGGCAAATCTGGGGGATTCCTACCCTTGATCCCCCTTTTCGCCGGATTAAGTGCCTTGGGGGCGCTCGCAGGGGGAGCTGCAGGTGTGGCCAAAACGGTCGTTGATGCCAAGAATGCACAAAAGAAATTGGAGGAAAGACCATCGCCATAACAAAGCTATGGAGTCTTTGGGCAACGGATTGTATTTGAGAAAAAATGCTAAAGGTGGTTATGGGTTGTACCTCAAAAAAAAGTTCAAAAAACTAAACATCAAGCTACCCAAGAAAGCGCTTTATGATTATGAAATAAAGCAATATGCGAAGCTCTTGAACATACCCTCATTTCCGAGGTGTCTTCATGCGTGACACTTACCACGAGACGGTCCACGTAAAAGAGAATGCGCCGTCGTGAACTTAGATATTTCACAAAACAACGGAACTCATTGGGTAGCTTATAAAAAGATAAACAACAACGTTGAGTATTTCGATTCATTTGGTAACCTGAAGCCTCCACAGGAACTTGTTCGATATCTGAAAAACGCTAAAATTTTCTACAACAACGATCCTTACCAAACTTATAATCAAGTTAATTGCGGACAATTGTGTTTGAAATTTCTAACAATAACAACAACAACACGATGGATAATAAAACATTATCGGAATTTACATTAGAAGAGTTTGAGAAGAATATTCCGCCGCTGGAATATTTAATAAGCAATGTGAGACCTGCAGAATTATTGAGTATATGGCACAAACTGCCTGCAGAATACACATCCAATTTTGATCTTCAAATACGACTTCCATGCTATGTTCACTACAACAGACCTGATTGGACAACACATTGGGATGGACCGGCTACTGCTCAAGCAAATTGTTATTTCTGTAAATTATCCATTCGAAAATAAACAAAAAAAAAAACTTGAATAAATGCTTAGTACACAGCTATATTTTTTCATTCATCATGTCGCAGTTGTTGAGAGTCAATAGCACTACTCATATATTTTCATTTCGTCCTTCAACACCGATAGTGTTGGATCCGAAAAAAGATTATGAATTGGCGCTTAGGTCTTTTACTTCATACAATTCCATACCGAATATTGAAAAAGGAGATAAATTTTATTATATCGACCGGATAGGTGGGTGGTGGTCAATTAAAAGTCATCGAGTTTCCGACAGGTTGTTATGAAATTACCGACATAGAAACATTTATACGAACGCAAATGAATCTTGAAAATGAAGTTGCTCCTCCGGATGATTATTTTTCTCTAAAACCTAACAATAATACACTGCAATGTGAAATCTTTAGCAAGTATTATAAAATAGTTTTTACAGAACCGAATAATCTTGGACATCTATTGGGATTCTCGAAAAAAGTTCTTAATCCTGGTCAAAAGCATTCTTCTGATTTACCTGTAAACATAATAAAAGTATCAACCATACACTTTGATGCTAACATTACGTCGGGAGCCTTTGACGGAGACACGCCTGCACACACGATCTACGAATTTGCTGTGACAGCCGATCCTGGATACGCTATAGTCGAAACACCTGTAAATTTACTATATCTACCTGTTATACCGAAACAAGAAATAACCAACATCACAGTGTTGGCTTTAGATCAAGACGGTCGTCCTGTAAACTTTCAAGGTGAAACTAGTACTCTTGTGTTGGTTGGAGTTGAGAGCGAAGCGCAGATGGGATTAGTGATTATAAGACATAGTGGTGCTTCCAAGGCAACTTCAGTATTACCCCAAGCACCTAAGCGACGACATCTACTACTAACTACATCAAATATCCTGTTTCTACGCTCACTTGGATATCATGTCAACAACAACAAGAATCATGTACAAAAAGAGAAAAACTGAGGAGGCAGCAGCAGCAGCATCACATACTTCTCCGATGTTTGATCTATATCGATCTCCAGCATTCGATGAATCTATTCGCAAGGCTGAGTATAGATCTTATACGCCGTTCATCAAGTCATTTAATTGTAATGATGTTGTGGAATTTAGCATCAATCAAGTAGATTCGTTCTTTGCAATGAACGCTTCCCTTCTATCTATCAAAGGAAAAGTTGAAATAACTGGAGGAGGAGGAGCAGGAGATGTATCTTTAGCTCCAAACTTTGGTGCCTTCCTATTTGACTCTTGCACTTACAGTGAATCCGCTAGAGAAGTTGAAACAGTACGTGATCCTGGTATTGTAAGTACTGTCCGAGCTTACGTATGTTACAGTGAGGAAGACTCAAATCATATGGCTATAGCTGGATGGAACTATCCTTCAACACCTATAATGGCGTCAACACATAACAAGTCTTTTAGCTTGCTAATGCCGCTTAAACATATTTTCAACATTTTCAATGATTATCCTATGATTACGTGTGGCAGACAAACTCTCAGATTTGTGAGAGCTAGAAACGATAACGATTGTATCATTATCAAGGAAAAAACTGGAACGACGACGACGACAGCGAAAATAACTATTGAAAGCATGGAACTGAAAATCAAACATATTTACCCGAGTGATGATGTGAAAGAACAACTTTTGAAAGCTATTCAAACTGATAAGCCGATACTTATACCGTTTAGAAAATGGGATCTGAATGAACTGCCTGCAATTACCGCAGATGCGAGAAGAGAATATGGTCAGTTAAAACTAGCACCGCAATCGAAAGACCACGTTTCATTATAGTATGTTTCCAAACCGGTAAACGTGACGTCGCAACCTCAGACCCTACCCTGTTTGATCACGTGAATGCTGCTAGTATTCGAGTATCTTTAAATGGTGAATACTATCCCAACGAACGTATGCAATTGGACTTTGCAAACAATCACTTTACTGAAGCTCATTTCAACTATAGCGACTTTCAAACCAGCTATACAACTTCTTCTTCTCCTCTGAAGAGATGTCTTTTAGATTATACCGCTTTTAAAAATCGCGCTTTGTTTGTTATTGACTGTTCCAAACAAGAGGAAACCATGAAATCATCAACTGTTGATGTTAGATTGGATATCGAAGCCGATACTGGCTTTCCAACCAACACCAAGGCCTACTGCATCATTATACATGACTGCTTAATCGAGTACTTCCCCCTCACCGAAGTTATTAAAACCATCTCGTAAGCAACGAAGGACTCTCAGTTCCGCATCAGACATCATGAGGATCGCGTTTGTTGACATTCAAGGCTTTACAGTTGACGGATTATTCGTACCTAAAGAACTATGTATCGAAATTGGTTTCAAGAAAAGTCATTACATCTTTACACCCCGCAACCTTTTTCTACATTAAATACTAAAGACAAGAAAACTGTCGCTTACTTGGAGAAGAATTTCCATGGGCTTAAATATTCTTCCGGCGACGTTAAATATTCCAAGTTAAATGAAATAATTAAAAATAAGGTGATATATGCGGCTGACTATGTCTACGTTCGTGGAGAACAGAAAGCAAACTTTTTACTCAAGAAATGTCACATTTTTGGTGTTTTTCCCAACATTATTGATGTTTGCAAGTATGATGGTACACCGTGTGCTACTGGAAACTTTGTTGCTGATTCCAATCCATGCCACACCAACGGACAATTTTCCTGTACCCAGAGAAATGTTGAACGTCTACGCCACTGGTTTTCAAATATCATATTACCTATGTAGTTTTTTCTATTTTCAATAAAATATTAAACGTATTATTGTAGTTTTATTGAAAATACCTCTGGTTTGCGAAATAATTGTCAGAATGTCTATACTATTTTCATTTTGAACGGTATCATCCTGTATAATAATAACAGTACATCGTATACAGGTTATGAGACATTCTGACCGACCGACCGACCGACCAGAGGAGCCCACCACGCTATTTAGGTCACGCCTTGCTATATACGATTTAACGATATACCGTCGGTCCATCGATCCGCTATTTTTCGATGCACCCCTGTATACACGTTGCCCCCCGTAATCCACGCCAACACCAGACAGGTGCGACATCGGCGCCATCTATGCGCGAGATGCCCAACCCATCAATGGCAGCTGTCCAATGACACATAGATTCCGTTTGGTTTGTACAGCGCCAAACAAATCGGCGCCATCTATGCGCGAGATGCCCAACCCATCAATGACAGGTGTCCAATGACACATAGATTCCGTTAGGTTTGTACACCGCCAAACAAATCGGCGCCATCTATGCGCGAGATGCCCAACCCATCAATGACAGGTGTCCAATGACGTATGACAGATGACGTTTTAACGCCATCTATGCGTGAGATGCCCAATGACGCATGACAGGTGTCCAATGACACACAGATTCCGTTTGGTTTGACAGCGCCATCTAGCGGCGGAATCCCCAACTCATGATACAGATTCCGTCCAACAACCTGTCAATGGCGCGCGACGCCAGCGCCTCTGGTGGCGGATTTTGGAAGTTTTGAGACCGAATCCC